TTCAAGTTTTATAAATAAATAGATAAGAAGGAAGAGAGTTTTTTTTGTTATAAAATTTGACACTGTTTGACTTTAAATTAGTTAAAATTCAATGTTATTGCTACTTCCACCAAAATTGCTTCATGCAATTTTCATCTATTTAAATAATATTAAAAATGATTTCTTTTAAATAAAATTTAAAATTCAAGTTTTATAAATAAATAGATAAGAAGGAAGAGAGTTTTTTTTGTTATAAAATTTGACACTATTTGACTTTAAATTAGTTCAAATTCAATGTGATTTCTAAGTATCTAGAAGTTATAACAAAAATAATATTAGAAATAAAAAAGATTATGCAATTCAAATAATATTAAATTATATAACTTAAATTATTAAATAAAAAATTAATTTTTTAACAATAAAAGTTATCTTTCATTCAATAATTTTTATTTTATAATTTAATATAGTAAAAAAAAAAAAAAAAAAAACTCTACTAAAAATGAGACGTTGGAAAAAGAGAAATGAATTGAAAATCTAGCTCTTCTTGGCGAGACAATCTTGATGTGGCTCTTCTGTGATAATGAAATGATTATACTAAGTACTCTGTATTGAAGATGATTAAACTTAAACCTCCCCTCTCTCTTTTTTGGTCGGCCAAAAAAATAAAGAGACCTTTTCTTTCTTAAAAATTGTTTGATTAAGGGGAGTCGTAGTCAAATTACTTGCTTGTTTGATGGGAAGGAAAGTTGAAATCTTCACCCATACCTACCATCATAGAAAGCTGGTTCCCATTAATTTCCTATCTAAAACTTACCATTATGCATTCCTAATCTGCATTAGTCCCAATCTCGCTTTAAGAAACATGATTAGCCTTCGATCTACCTAATATTTTATAAAATTGGGGCAATATCGTGAGCGTTTCAAATAAAATTTTTTTCTTACAAATTACAATTAATTAGCCTTTAATTCTCATTTTTTATTCCACCTCTATGTGCATCGTGACTTATATCGAGAGTGATTAATTCTAATAAGAAATTATTAAATTGGCTACATGATCGTTTGACGTTTTAAACATAATGTTGAAAATGATTCCAAAAGTGAGAATGCTTCATGCTTGATCGTAGAGAAGACGTCCAACCATGGAAATGATCTTTAATTTAGATATTTTTGTTGAGCGACAATAAGGACGTGTTTAGTACTTTACAACAATTTGAAGCCAATTGTTACTTTAATTAGTTTTTGTTCAACAGGACAATTAATAATTATTCTTGTTACCTAATAATTTACACTTTTATTTGTTAGATTATATAAAATTATTAATAATTTAAATTCTCTTATTTAAGTATTAATATTTCACAATTCATATTAGTTATAAAATCGCATATATTCTAATTACTTAAATAATTTGATGATAAATTTTTTAGTGGAAACAATAAATTATAAGTTTAACTTGTATTATATACAATTGGAGTGAATTAAAATATGGATAAAATTGTTTCTCATTGTATAGTTTAAGATAAACAAAAATAAATAATACATAAAATCCAACTTATCTTGTAAGCAAGGTCTAATATTTAAATTTTAGGGCTAGTATTCATAAAATTAAGAGGGTTTGTCCTTCAGATTAATAAAAAAGGAATTATAAGTTTTGTATTGTATATGAAAATTATAACTCAAAAGTATCCTAATTGTAAATATAATAATAATAATATATAAATACAACTCATAATCACAAGCAAAACAACGTTGTTATTGGGGCTCTTGATGGCCTGGTGGCTTAAAATCGACACTACTAGAAAACAACATTTAATCAACAAAAATATAATCGACAGTTAAAAAACTGTCAATTATACTTGTATAATTAACAAAAAGTCTATCGATTATGAAAAAATGTCAATTATATAGATATAATCGACAATTAATAGTGACTATCGATTATACTTATATAATCAACAGAAATTCTGTCGATTATAGTTGCTCTCAAATTTTGTAAATGTATATATACATTAATATTTAACCATTCACTAGTAGTATATATTTAATTATATTTCTCGTAAATCATAAATTTAGTAATAAAAATTAAATATTATCAAATGTGAGACTATTTTTAATTAATATTATACATATATATATATACTTTGATTAAACTATCAATTCTAACACTAAATATTTATAATTAACTTAGTTATTTTATAACCAGAAACAACACCTTTAAACATCATCTCATCTCATCTTCTCCAAAATTTCTCATTCTCCTTCCCTTTTCTACAGAAGTGTGCCCCCCATTTTTCTCTTCTACCTTGCTTCATCTTCTCTCTTTTCTTCTACCTTTCTAAATCTTTCATTGT